ATAATATGCTTGTAGAATTTGCTTTTATAGCATATAATTTTTTTTAAATGTCTCACTTAAAGTAGTTTTTTCTCAAAGTGTACTCAATGGCAAATACAGAATGAGCACAAAAACCTTGTTCAAGTATCAAGTAATACATTTTCATTAATCAAAATAAAACCATTCAAGGCAATTTTATATCAATAACTTTTTATATTTACGGTGGCTCCCAAAAGCGTTCATAAACTTATGACTTTTATTGAAATAGGGCCACTATTAATTAAAAAGAATATTTCAAAATGAGTATTAAAAAATATGATGTACAAAATCTATTTTAAGTAAAATTGCATGGAATATTTTAAAAACAAAGTAAAAGTTTATTTTTAAGAAATCAATAATAAAAAAGTAACAAAAATTTTACCTGACACATTCAAATGTTTTTGGATTTTAGAATTAAAATTGTCTAATGCTTTTAATTTTTTTATTAGTTATTTTTCATTTAATTATTTATTCACAATTTCATATGAAACTTATGATAGCAAAATTATATTTTAATAATTACTTGCCAACTCTGTAATATTTTCTTGTCATTTGAAAACGGCTCATAGTCTTAATAAAACAATAAATGTTTAAAGTTGATTATTTCATCATAAGACTTAAATCATTAATGAATATAGCTAAATTAAATGTCTACAAAATAATATAATATAATAATTATTTTATCAATGAAAATTACTAACTTGAGAACAATAAAATTGAATCTCTCTTTAATCTATCTTTTAGGCCAAGTTTTCCTAAGCAATTAAAAATAAAATTGTGTCCTGCTTCTATCAGGTAGCGAGCTGATTTTATTACATTCATGAACTTTGTTTCTTGTATTAGATACTGTTTTATCAATTATTGCAAAGGGGGAAGTTCTTTCCAGGTTATTATCATTGTATTTTCATATGTATTTTCATTTTCTTATCTCTATTTGCATCCTTATAAAATGTAATCATTTCATGAATGATGAAATTTTAATTTTTTCTTGAGAGTAAAATAATTCTTATACCTTTTATGTTGCTTATGCTGATTGTTTTAGTAACAGAGAACTATTTTCAACTGATGCATGAAAAAATGTACAGGAATCAGCCAGTTGTAAAATCTGTATCGTTTTCAGAATTTATACGCCGAATCCGGTAATATAAGATAATATATGGATATTTGTTTCAATATGTTAACCCCATAACTTCTGCACTCCAGTTAATTACAGCGTGCTTAACAAGATAAACTGTGCCCACTAGATAATTCGAGTGGCCCTGTATCATAAGCTTATTGATATTTATCATTTACACAGGATTGTAAGCTTTAAAATTATTCAAGAATAAAATATAGCCTTTTTCCACGGAACAAAAGTGCAGTATATAAAAATTGTCCACCAAAAGAAAAGTTGAACCGGCAATGGCAACAAATGGAAAAATGGTCCTTAAGTGTATTTTACGTTTAAAAATTTTTTTTTTGGGGGGGCGTTTCTCTTTCTCCCAAAAAACCTGTTCGTTAAGGGGTTAAAGTAAACAATGAAGATAAAAAATTTATATTGACTGAACCTAGAAGTTTTATTTCTGATACACATCTTCAACATATAAGATTGTTACATTAAATAGAAAAGAATGAATAGACTGAATGTACACTTCAAGGAATACATATGTTACCTGATATCATTTGGAGGACCCTTGGAAAAGTCTTCATTCCTAATTTGCCATAGCCACCAATCCAGTTGAAGCCACAGGCAGCCTCATGGGATAGTAGGGCAGCAAGAATCCTCCTTGTCACCTCATTGCAGTCCCTGCCCCCGAAATGTCCCAAATTTTTAACCTAAAAATAACAATGAAACTCAAAACTATGAAATTCAAAAGCACATAAATTACATGAGCACATTATACTGCCTACAAAGTTAAAGAAAGGAAAATAAAATACGGTATACTGTGTATATCTCAAATTGGAAAGAATCCTAAAAAAATCTAGTTTTTGAGACAATAAGTTGAACTAAACCTAAACAAAGGGAAAATATACTGTAAAATATCGCTCTTAAAAGTAGTCATGAAACATAAGAATAACTAGTAATAAATATCCTAGGTCAACAAAGTCAAAACACAATAATTATAATTTTACCTTTTAAAGTAAGACAATAACTACGCATTAAACAGAAAATAATTGATTTACAATAAATTTAGATTGGGACTTGTCTGAAAAAATTCACTTTCCAATTCGAAAAAAATACAGAACATGGTTTTGAATTCCTATGAAGAAATTTTTCAACATAGAAAATTAAATTAACATCAGGTGAATGCCAAGGGGGTAAAATATTTTTTGCATAACAAGGTTTTTGAGACAGTATACTCAAGTGTCTATACAGACATTTTATTAAAGGTCTTGTTTTTGTAAAATTGTGAAACACTACTCGTTAATAGTTAAGTCACATTCTTTCAGCCAGGGTCCTGCTTTAGTGAATTTGTGCAAATAGTGTCCTGTTATTGCAAAAAACCTTTTCAAGAAGTTAAACACATGTAAATCATCTCACATCTAAAAAATGAACTAAATTTTGATGGAAGTTATGTACCTATTTTTTACTACAATGATGCAACAAATTTAAGTTTCACAATTCCTAAAACATATCAAAGATATTACATATAATCCAAGATATTATATACATGATTTTGAATTATTTATAAAAATAAAGGGTTTTTAGTTTAATATGACTAGAATTTCTAACTTCTTTATGCCTTGACAAACAATTCACAAGTTTTTTTATCCACATTATTTCAGCATAAAAGAGAACAACCTGCAACGAATGGCATCTGTCTTTATTTTAATACCTTACAAAGATAATTCACAAAAAGCAAAGACAAATTTAGTTTAATTTATTACTATTGATAATTATATTTAGTTCATATATTTTTGGGCAAACAATAGGATTTAGAAAAGCTTTAAAAAATTATTTGGCACACATGTTTGCAGTACACAAGTTGTTGATACCCCAAGGATCAAACATAACGTTTCAAATAAAACTAGCACTTTATTACTCAGCTTTTAATTAATCCTCATTTATGCAGAAAAAATTTACTCTTATTCAATTTTAAAAATTAGAAGAGCTGAATCACCTGAACTCTAAACAAAGAATATTAATACAAAACACAATTCTTTGAGAAAACAGAAATCTCACCATTTTGGAGAATTTTTCACTAGATTCCAGCTCAACCTCCAGCAATTGCATTTCTCCAGCCTCCATGAGCTGGAAGTCCTCTGACTTCTCAGTGTCGGGACGTTGGACATGCAGAGTTTGGGAGACACAGTTGACATCTTGGCGCAACAGAGCTATCTCCTCTAAAACCTTACGCATGTCCGAGGCCATTGAGCTATAAAAACCTGATAAAATAAAATTTTAAATAAAAATTCTACTGAACATTATCAGCTACTCATTTACCTGCTTTAGAGTTTTCAGATTATACAAAGACTTGAAAGTATAAATGATTTAGGACATTTATTTGTAAACAATAAATCATTAAACCGAAATATTATTTTTCGGTGGATGGTGTTCTATAAAAAAAAAACTAAAATACCTTCATTTTTGGCACAACTTGTGCACTGAGCACTTGTTGCTAGCAAACCAGCCCTCGCCTCTTTCATTGTGAGAGGACTTTCAATAGCACTCTCAGCAAATAAAGATTGCGTAGCCAGCCTGACGTTAGCTCTCTTAGGAGCTGGTGGAGTAGAGGAGAGGATGTATGAGACTTGAGGACTGGAGGTAGGTATGATTGCATGACGCGGCTCCTCTTCCGAAAACATTTCAACATCGCTTCTTACTAGATATTCTTTCAGTACGGCATCAGCAGCCTTATAGGTTTCTAAAAAATTATGATTTTTCTTTTAAACTTTCATAGCATTGATAAAATGTATAAGTTTGCTATTGAATTAGAATAAATTCCCAATAAAAATCAGTCAAATTTTAATATAATTAATTTAAAAATGAAAAGCATTTATTATTAATTTTCATACTCTTACAATTTATTGAAAATGTACTGCTTCAAATACCAAAACTTATATTCATATCAGACTTTCTAAAATGAAATGAATTTAAAGCGGAAATTTGAAAAAGATTTTTCTCAGTTATAAATATCGAACACAGATTTGTCTAAAAAAAGAAAAAAAAATTGTGTTAATTAATATTACTCGTGAACAATTTTAAAACACCATACAATAAAAATGAAATACAATATTTTAAGGACACTAAGTATCTTACTATGGCACAAAGACAAAAGCTGTTTGAAAGTATTTAAACAGCCTTCTCTTACGGTTTAATTTCTTAATAATAAATAGGTATGTAAAGTTGTTCGATACAAAAATATTTGTTAATCTGAGGTCAAAGTGTCTGCCAAAATATTACGATATGATTTTTACAAAAGAAAAGAAAAACATGAAGAAAAAAATTTTTTTTGATTCAAAACAATCTTTCTATTATGTACATTTTATAAAAGGATATGAAATCCCAAAACTTGATTAACACTTTTGAATGGAAAAAACAAAAAATCAAGACAGAGTGGAATAAAGATATGCTTACTTGAATAATGGATTACTTTTGCCGGCCATAGATCCCACCCATCTGAGGGAGAAACTTTTTGGAGCACATTTCTTTTTAAATTTTGCGGCGGAAACCAGCAGAGGTATCCGCCATCGGTCTCATCGTCTTCGATTAGCCATTCAAAAGGCACGACTGCCACTTTTCCATTTTCTTGAACGAAATCTACTACACAGTATTCTAAGCTTGATCTAAGAGAAAAGATTAAATGAGTTAAAAAATTAACAGTTACTAATGTTCTACAAATCAAAAATTTTACAGAAGTTTAACTTTCATCCATTATTAATAGAAGTCAACGAAAAGGACCGGGTATTGAAATATAATACTAAGAATTCTAGCATTTAAAATACAAGCAAGCATTTAAAATACAAATTTCTCGGACATTATAAATGACGTTACCTAAGAGTACATATTCAATTTAGTCAATCATTACAACTATTTAATTACTTGTTTGCATTCTCACAAGGAAAAATAATTTTCAATGAACCACTTCTGTTGGAATTTACCTTGGGTCTGCACACATTTAATTGGTTGAATGAGCATGGGATATGCCACTGTAAAGTAAACAGTTTTTAGTTCATAAAAAAACATTAACTTAGTCGTTTGAATTCTCATAGAGGAAAAATAATTTCGGATGAAACACTCCTGTTGGAATATACTTANCAGAGGGGAAAAATAATTTTGGATGAAACACTTCTGCTGAATTGGAAACAGTTTTCAGTTTATAATAAATATTAACCTAATTGTTTGAATTCTCGGAGAGTACTGATTTATACTCGGGACTCGGAGGGTACTCGGAACTGATTTATCAGAGATAATCATCTTGTTACTATAAAGACTAAGATAAATAATAAGTAGCATAACTGAAGAAGGAATAGGATTGCAAAGAAGTAGACTGGAGTAGCAAGTTATAACAAAAGTTGGTGTGGCGATTTGTTTGGACAATGTAGACATGAGATGGAATATACACGGTAATGGATTACTGGTACTATGTTCATATATGGAGAAGAGGTACACACACATAACTATAATATTTGATCAGCATGGCATTGCAATAGATATGAGAAGTTATTTGACGATTATGTTCAGTTAGTGCTCAAGGCATAAGATTTCTTCACTTGCCCCTGTATATAGCACTGCATCCGAAGTTATCATTTTGTTACTGCAAAGACTGAGATAACAAACATTTTTGAGACACCAAATTATCTTGCGACGAAGATTTACTTTAAAATCTAGTGGCGGAATACCGCCGTGAAATTTTTTTCTCTCCAAATTTGACAGTTTTTCAATGATATTATCATCAGAAATTGTAACTTTCAAGTGCCACCGCATGCCGATCAAATAAAAAAAAAACTCTATAACTTTATTTTTATTATTTTAAATTTTTTTCATTAGCATTTCGGATTAAATTTTCACAACATTTGGCTCATTGAGTCATTAAAAGATGTCAATTCAAAGTGTTAAAACTACCCAGCAAAAACAAATCAGCAGGCAAAGCACTGGAAAAGTTCCTGTAGCCAGCAGCTAAATTGCTGGGCAGGTACATGGATGCAGTCACTTCTAACTGTACTAAAGTGAATGGCTGGCCTTCTGTCGACACAGCAGTACAGGCCAGTAGACGGCCAGCTTTATAGTAGCCAGCAACTGTAATAAAGCCATCACAGGCACAGCACTTACCCACCACTTTTTGACGGTAACCAGCATCTATTCAATGCTTAAACTATGGTTGACGGCCAGAAATCTGATTAAACCCAGCAGCATACCAGCATTTTGTAATCTGGACAGAGGTCATTGACCAGTTCATAATTAGATGCGCATAGCTGCCAACCCTTCTGCATTTTGCAGAAGCTTTCTGCATTTTTACTTATTTTAGCTATTTTTTCCTCTTTTATGCGCAGAAGAGAAGATCTTCTGCATTTTACCCATCCGTCTGATAGCTAGTATTTTCTTTAAGTCAGACGTCGCTGTTCCTCTTGTAACAGCCTTTGGAAGGCCGTAACTACATTTTTAATCAAGAATTAATAAATGAATATTGTACCATCAAGTAGCTGATCAAAAGTTTTTTTAAAAGATATTTCCTTTTTTGTTTTAAAAAAAGATGAGTATTGCTTTTTTATGCTCATATTAAGTGGATTTATAAATAAGTAATTAATTAAAATAATTAACTAAAATCCGCTTCTTTTATAAATTTATTGGTAATTAGTATGCGCTTGCGAATCTTCTGCATTTTTAGGCATTTCTTCTGCATTTTTTTTGTCTATCTTCTGCATTTTTATAACTAGAGGTTGGCAGCTATGGATAAGGGTGGGGGGTGAGAAATTCTTTTTATATTAGATTTTTATCTTGGAACCTTAGTAAAAAAAAATCTGAACTGAATTTAGAGTTAGGAGTACTTGTTTTTACAATATATCTAAGCTCAGTCATTTAATTAAGATAGAAATCGTAAGAAATGCTTAATTGAAGCAGTCTTACCTAATGAACCTTTGTTCAATACTATTACTTTGTTACCTTAGAATTAATATATTCCTCAATAAAAATGTGATCCTAAGATTATTTTAATATACATGAAAAAAGTTTATCAAACCATCCAACCTATTTTTTTATATTAGATTTTTATCTTGGAACCTTAGTAAAAAAAAATCTGAACTGAATTTAGAGTTCGGAGTACTTGTTTTTACAATATATCTAAGCTCAGTCATTTAATTAAGATAGGAATCGTAAGAAATGCTTAATTGAAGCAGTAATAATATGCTTGTAGAATTTGCTTTTATACCTCTAAACTCAAACCACTACCTCTAAAATATTTAAAACAATTCGATTTTCTCGACGCACGCTAATACACATTTAAGAACTATTTCAAAGCACAGGCCTGCAATGAAAAAAATACAAGAGGACTGATAGCTGAACTTTTTGTGTTTTTTGGTGCTGAAATGAAAAACAGTAATGAAAATTCTCCATCACGTCACATTTTCTTGAAAAATTCAATTTTACTGGAATTCTTATGAACATTTACCATTAGAAATTGTTCGTCTCTGAGCTACTTCCCTTCTTGCCTGGTCAGCATTCTACTTTGGTAAAATCTACAAAAGTACCCCTCTATGACATCCTTCTGTCACAATATCTCTCTATACCAATAGCAACACGAACATTCTTATCTTGATTCGCTGACCTCTCAGGAACACTAGCAAACGTAATCGGGAGTCATTTTTTCGAAATATTTTTAACTTCTGCTTTTCGTACGTTTCTTGAAACATAGCTTCGAGTTCGAGACGTTATGAAAATTTCCCAGGTGACTTTTGATGATGATTTTCCCACATATGCGGCGAACATGGTGGTGTTAAAAATCGCACGAGGATCATTACAGACCATACAAGACAACTTTATCTTGCGTATTTTAGCACGAAACTCAGAGACCAGGATAAATCGTGGGCTCCTCATAAGGTTTGTGTTCCGTGTCTTAATGGCTCCAAGGAAAGAAGACTGTCTAACGATTTGGAATTTCTATGACATAGAGGGAGCCCAAAAACCACTCTGATGATTGTTTTTCTTGCTCCTGCCATGCTCGTGAGTATAACCGAAAAAATCGAAGGCTAATATCTTATCCAGATAATATTCCATCGGCCATACGCCGCATTCCTCACGGACCTGATATGCCTGTGCCTTTGCCCCCAATTGAATTACCAGTCATCTCTTCAGAGTCTTCAATCTCGGAACATCCAGAAGTTCAAGGCTCCAATATCTTATATAAGTCATCTGTAGCTGGCTCCCTCAACCCTTCTCTCAGGTTGAACTTATTGATCTGACTAGAGATCTGGGCCTTTCGAAAGAGGCAGTTAAGTAATCGTTAGGCTCAAGACTGAAAGAAAAAAAAATATTGACCAATGGAACATCTTTTTATTGGTACAGGAATCGAGAAAAGAATTTATTAATTACTTTGATAAAGAGGAAAACTTGGTCTATTTTTCTGATGTTCCTGGATTGATGAACAAATTTAATGTCATCTACAACAAAGATGAATGGAGGCTGTTTATAAATTCATCTAAAAGAAGCTTCAAATCTGTCCTTCTGCATCATGGGAGCCAGTATGCATCTATACCAATTAGACACTCGGTATATTTAATAGAATGCTATGAAAACCTGGCTCGTGCTCTAGACAAATTAAAATATATCGACCACAGGTGGACCATTTGTGGTGACTTGAAATTTGAGCTTCATATTCAACAAGGTGGATTTAAAAAGCTCTCATGCTTCATTTGTGAGTGGGACAGCCATGACAAGACTCACCATAGAGTCAAAAAAGAATGGCAGAAAAGAAAAAATCTTGACCCAGACTCAAAGAATGTTATTCAAAACAGCTTAGTTGATCCCAAAAAGTATTGCCACCCCTTCTAAACATAAAATTAGGTGCAATGAAGCAGTTTGTCAAGCCAGTTCCAAAAAATAGCGATTGTTTCAAACACCTGTGAAAGAAGTTTCCAAGTTCATCCCAAGCTAAGTTGAAAGAAGGAATCTTTCTTAATACAGATATCCGCAAACTCATGAAGGATAAAGATTCTGAGGCTAACAGGAGAACAACGGAAAAAGAAGCTTGATTTGCCTTCAAGGATGTCGTCGGTAAATTTCTGGGTAACTACAAGGATCCTGACTGTAAAGCAATTGTAATGAAAATGGTGGGGAAATTTAAAACTTTGGGTTGCTCCATGACTGTTAAAATGCATTTCTTTCAATGACACGTGGACTTTTCCCCGAAAATGTTGGAGCTATCAGCGAAGAACAGGGTTAAAGATTCCAACAAGATATCAGAGATATGAAGCCTAAATATCAAAAACGAGAGAGGAAAAAATACTTGACGACTACTGTTAGATGTTAACTCGAGATAGGCCTGCGATTAAACATAAAAGAAGATAATCAAAAATAAATTTTATAGGAAAACGAGCATGGAAACTTGTTTCTTTCGTTTTGTTTTCTGCTTGTTTTGTTTTTTGTTTCAAACTTTCATGTACACATACACAAAATTTGCTATTCTTGGCGAATCGTTAATTTTACGTAAGTTACAATAAAAATAAATTAAAATGGTATGTTGGTGGTTTTCTTCTCAAAGTTAAAAAAAAAGTAAAAAGTTTTAAATCAAGGAACTTATTGTTTTCCTCTCGAGAAGAGATGTTTCCTGAAGTGGTTTAGGTAATCGATGTTTAGTGTTAATCGATGAAACATCGATATTGATTTTACAAAAAAATCGTGATGTGATAGTGGAAAATGAAAGTCATTTTCGGAATCAGCACATCAAATAACGTATAAATCTGTTGAAACTCATACGACGCAGTGAATAACAACTCTTTTGTATTAGTTTTGCTCACGACAATGGAGTTGTGCAAAATTAGTTTTCAATAACAATTCATTCAAATAATTATCTTAAATTTTGTTATTTTTCGCTAAATTATTGATTATTTTTCCAATAATGTAGACATTATTATAAAAAAGTCTTTTTTTTTACTGTAACTCTATGATTAAATGTATTTCAATTACAATTTTAGTTTAGCGAACATTTTGGAAACCCATGATCAATATGAGTTTTCTTATGTCGTGGATTATTAATCTCGTTTTAGGTTTTCTCGCAGAAAAGAGTACTTTAAGTTATTTCTTAAGTTGCATTTAG